GCCCATCCGTGATTTCCGCAACGGGTTCTAGCGAACCGGTCCAAACCGGCTGAATACCACCTCTGATCATGAAGACATAGCAGAAAAAAAGTAGTTGCTGGGGCATGGTTGTGCCATGGTTAGGGGCAAGCAAGGAAAAACCCTAGACCTTGACTTACAACAGTTTACTTAGTGACTGTTGAAACTTACAACAGCACTGAAAAAAGTGACATTTTTCACACTTAGGACCATTGTAGCTCACCATGGTCACATGATTTACATTTGGATGCTGGACAACTGGTTCATATTTATGACGGTTGCTGTGTCTCGGGGTCACGTGATCCTTTTTGTGACCTTCTGACAAGCAAAGTCAATGGGGAAGTCAGATTCACTTAACTTTAATAATTTACTAGTTTAACAACTGCAGTAATTCACTTAACAAATGTGGCAAGAAAAGTCGTACAATGGGGCAAAACTCACTTAACAAACATCTCACTTAGCAACATAAATGTTGGACTTAATTATGGTCATGTCGAGGACTACCTGTACTCTATTCTTATTTCCTGCTCTGAATGCATCCATTTTCATCCTTTCATTTGTCATTAAGTTTCCCAATTGAGCACTTGTACAACTTTTCAGTGCAATGTTCGCTTTGGTCACTTTCACCACCACTACTAAAGGAGTCCAAGTGCCAGTCTAACCGTTTCCTGTGTTGTTTAGTCATTTGTGGCTAGTGGTTTTTAATATGGTTTCATGCCAAACTCTGGCTCTTGCAAAGCATACTGGAATTTCCTTTTCAATTCTGTATGCATGTGTTGGTGTGTATTTAGAAAGCCACATTGGCATACTTCTTTATTTGAATGTAATTTTGGTCCATTAATTCATCACTGCTTGATCTACATTCAGATTCATTGGGTTTTAGTTATGTTCTACTAAGAAATATATTTGGCTTTATGTAGATGCCTAAATAGGTGCTTTATAATCCTAGGGTGCGTGTTAGAATATTCATTTTGACCCCTCACCTTCTTAAAACAATGGCTCCTTTCAATGTATTTTCCAACAATTTGATTAAGCAATTCATTATTTTTAGCTATGTCTGGAGCAAAACAAATAAGTAAAACAGTAGACAGAAAGCAGTAAAATAAAATGACAGGTTATTTTATTTATGTCATGTTATTTATAAGTGACAATTATTGGTCAAATAATTATAGATTAAATATTCAGGTTCATTACTATTATGAATACAGAACATCTGACTTTTAATGATGCTTGCTATAATATTAGTGACCACTAGATGCCCTTCTGCATTATATTAAAAGAAATATGGGGGCAGCAGATGGTGTTAATTCAGTAATTAAAATTAAGATGGTGATAGTATCCTAACTTTTCTGACAATTTCTGTAAGCATTGTTTTGGTTCAATAAATATATCTCCATGCCGAAGCGATCACGTTCGAGATTAGGAAAACCCCATCAACAATTTAGAATCTGGGTTATTATTTCTAGTTACGCAACAGGGTAACAACAAACTACATGTAAAATCATAGAGATCTAATAAGCTATCTTCTATTTAACCTAGCTAAATATGCTTTTTCAATAATTTGGGATATAGTATTCAGTATTTAGGAGACAGCTGCTGATGCCTTTTAATGATTAATAGTTGTTGGGACATATATGTTTTGCTTAAGCATATATTAAGGAAAATGTTTTAATATAGTCATAAAAGGTGATATAACTGCATTTGTTTTGAAGAAGGCTGCTGCTGTTTTGAAAAGAAAGTGTTGCTCCACATTTATTCTGAATATTTCAAAATGAACAAACGCCACAAAAAATTAGTAAATATCCAGCATTCATTCCTCAGGAGAGCAACTGTAAGTTTTCTTTTGCTCAGGGAAAAAAAAACAAAAAATATTATAACCATGATATCTGCTTTTTAATCTGCAAGACCTAGTTTTCATATAGACCCTCCCAGCCTTTAGGAAAGCACTGAAGAGACAGTTATATTGCTGTGCCTGGTAGATCTGGCACTGGTGGTGAGTCCTTACAGTGGTTATGTTCAGCTGGGGTAAGGATGGTTTCTGCTGCTATCATAATTGTTTTGGTTTTAAATAGCTAGTTTTTATATGTTTATATTTTGGGTTTGAACTTATTTTTATTGAATTTATTTTATCACTTAGATGAGATAGATAATCATACAAATTGAAATAACTTTATACCAAAAACACCCAGTGGGAAGAATAGATTTGCTTAATGAGCATATGACTTGCTTAACAACTACGGTGATTTACTGTTATCAGGTGCGACTTCATTTAATAACCAGGAAAGAAACTNAGGGTATGGCTAGCTGATGAGAGCTAAATAGCTTGAAATAGATCTATACTAGTCTCCCTTTATTTATTTATCAGCACAAATAAAACACACACATATATATATAATGTATGTAAATATATAAATATATAAATAAATATAAATAAATATATATAAATATAATATTATTTATATTATTTATATTAATTTATAATATAAATTACTTTAGATTGTGCAGAGTATTTCAGTTCTAACATAGAAACACATAGTGTCAGAATGAGATGGATGAGTCAATTTTCTGTAAAACACGTCCTGTATTTCAAGCAAATTTTCATTATGCACAAATTTTAGATTTTCATGTAACGCTCCCAGCTTAAATAGGCAATATAGGTCATGATGTGAAATTAACTTAATGGGATGAAGGAATTCATTTTGCCCATGCCCAAAATTTAAACTTCATCTGACTACTCTATAGAATTTGGATTTTTTACCAAGCTTATTTTTCTGTGATGCTTACACGGTAATCACATTCTACCTAGATTGCAAGGCATCGAATTTAGATGGAGGAGATCCAATTCAAGATTTGACATTATCAGAAAGTTACCATCTTTCTATGCAATCCAATTGATCTGCAAGAGATGTTGTTATATGGATAAAATGAAGTTACATGTCCAGAGGTTTGAGCTACTGAAGAATAAGTAGGATATAAATATAATATATTGTAAAGAAGAGCCATGTTTGTCTATGGTTGACAAAAATCAGAAGGCATCTGGTAGCACCTTTTCCATTTAGAAAATTTTATCAAAAGACATACCAGTAAGTGTTTGTGAAGTGTTCGTAAGGAGTGGCTCGTATCATAAGATGCAGAGAGTGGTTTGACTTATATAGAACTTAAACTGGGAGGAGGTGGGGTGGATGAAAGGAAGAGTTAGAAAGATTGATTGTGCAGATACAGGTTACATGTGACACAAATTAAAATTACCTCTTCAGTTAACAATTATAATGTTAGAAAGCCCCCCTGAGATTGTCTGACCCCTTTTGATGCGAGTTGAACACTTTCTCTCTCAATAGTCCTGTTAAAACCTCATTTTTCCAAAATGATTACTTTGAGAGCTTTCACAGAGTATCCTGAGAGTTTGAAATGATCTGCTATTACTTTGTCCTTGTTCTGAGCCCTGATGTCAAGCTTCTGTCCCTTACTTCTTTTGCACATTTTTTTTTCCTGTTTGTCCTATGCAGAATTCAAAGAAATGGACACATTGCTGGGAGATGATGATAATTTATTCCATTATATGTAGAAAGGTGACGGTATCTATAGTCTTGTGTTTACTTGCTAAGCCCTGTGATTTAGTTGTTGATGTAGATATGGACCAAAAGAGACATTTTCTGTTTTTCAGGCTCTGATTCTCATGTTGGCATAAATGTGTATGTTGCTTGTAGTTGCTTGTGAGAATCTAGTTCAGGTTGGTTGGGTTGTTCCCTGGATACAAGTAGAGCCTTGCCACCAAGTACCTCAGGAAATGTAATGTTATTGCCCAAGAGGGTTTGTAGCTTATTAGTAATATGTTGAGTGTTTTGAGCTGTTAACTGTAGCTGACAACCAAGAGTATTCTGTTCTTCATCTGTAATGTGTATATAAGCTTAATGGATATTATGGATTGATGATGGTTATATGTTTTTATTTTGTTATGTATCTTGTCCACCCCCTGGGGAACTTGCCATCACAAGATAAATAACATTTCCTCCCATCAAGAGTTGACATTCTATTGATTTGCTAATAGTTTTATTGTGATTTTATAGGTTACATTCATTATTATTAATGTATTATTTTTGCTTTTTATATTTATTATGTTATTGCTTGGTAGTTTTATATGATTGGCTTGTATTATAATTGATCATCAATCAATTTTTAAGAGGCAATGGAGTTCACCTTTCCCAGTGTGAAATATAGCTCTGACTACAGTTTAGCTATCTTTACCCAGCAGCTTACATGGAAAGAAGAAAAATTTGTGTGTAAGTAGGCATGAGCCCTTAAAATGAGAGATGGACTCGACTGCCTTTATGTTCAAAAAAATTCATGATATTACAGACTAGTGATGTTTTATCTTATTGCATTACTTGGGCAAGAAAGTGAAATAACTCCAGACCAGTGAATTCTATGATGTGTATTTGTGAAAATATTATGGAGACATATATGTCCAATATAATAAGAATTCAAGGATAAATTGTGTTAGCCTTCTCTATGCAGAAAAGCTGAGACCTCCTCTTTTGCTAGGAAGGCCAAATTTTCTCCTTATATTGGGGTATGATTAATCAGTAGGATCCTTTAACCACTGGGTTACTTGCTATCCAAAAAAAATTATGTGATAAGGAAGAAAAGAAGGAAAGGTATATCCTGATGCTTTGTTGCCCCCGCCTTCATATTTTTTTGTTGGGTAGATATAGATGATTTTATCTATAATTTTAATTGGGAAACAATCTCTGAACAGCTTTCCTTCTGAATATTTGAAGAAGTGAAGAAGTGAAGAGAGGCTTCAGGAGATTAACATGAAAAACAGGGTAAACCCGGTTGAGATGCTTAGGCAATTGGAGTCGGACAGAAACAGGGTTGATGATCTTGACAACGGGAAACGGGCCAACATATTTGGAGCCCAATTTCTTTGACTTCTGGGGTGTTTGAAGAAATCTAGTGGATAAATAAACTTGATCACAAACCTTGTACTCATAGGGCTTAGTCCGTTTCTTATCAGCCTGTTTCTTATGAGTGCGGTGTGCAGCATCTAGAGTCTGGAGAGCCAAAGGCCAAACGCCCCGAAGGCGATCGCTCCACTCGGACAGCGACGACACCTGCGGTTGCTCCTGAGGAATTTCAGGAATGGGTACAAAATCCTGGCCGTACATCACACGAAAAGGGGTAAAGCCAGTGCTGCTGTGCACGGAATTATTGTAGGCCACCTCAGCATGAGGTAACAAATCCACCCAATCATCTTGTTGGTAGTTGATGAAACAACGTAAATATTGTTCCAGTACAGAATTAGTCCTTTCACAAGCCCCATTAGTCTGAGGGTAGTGGGAGGAGCTTAGCCCTGGGTGGAGCCAATCCGCTTCAGAAACTCTTTCCAGAATAGGGAGGTGAATGGAACACCCCTGTCCGAAATGATGCAGTTGGGCACCCCATGCAAGCGATATATATGAGAGGTGAACATCTTAGCAAGAGATTTAGCTGAGGGGATCTGTGAGCAAGGGATGAAATGGACTTGTTTGGAGAATAAGTCCGTAACAACCCAGATTACAGTGTGTCCCTTACTCTCAGGAAGTTTGACAATGAAATCCATGGAGATGTCCTTCCAGGGGGCTACTGGGCGAGCCACCGCCTGGAGTAACCCCTAGGGCTTACCCGGAGGGCGTTTAGCAGCGGCACAAATGGGACAACTGGCAACTTAAGCCTCAATGTCCTTTTCAAAGAGGGCCACCAAAATTGCCTCTTGACGAGGTGTAGAGTCTTGACGAATCCAAAGTGTCCAGCCATCCGGGAGTCATGAGCCCGTTGAAGAACAATGGGTCTAATGGACACAGGAATGTATAACTTCGCCCCAATCCAAGGCAATCTATCTTTTATAGTGCATTCATTCATGTGTTGTTGGAACCAGTCATCCCCAGCAAGGGCCTTTTTTAGGTTAGAAAGAAAATCCTCAGTGACCTCCACTTTTGAAGTAGCTTGACTTCTAGTAACAACAGGAGCAGCGAGGCTCTTCGCGGGAATGACAGGCTGGACAACATTGAGCTTAGAACAGTTGTACTGAGGGAGTCTGGACAAAGCATCAGCCATAAAGTTTTTTCCCCCTGGAATATACTTCAAGGTAAAATTGAATCTATTGAAATGCTGAGCCCAGCATTTCTTCTCCCTGCTTAGGAGAAAGTTTCTTGGGGGTTCTCAATGCTTCCAAGTTTTTATGGTCAGTCCACACCTCAAAAGGGTGTTTGGCGCCCTCCAGAAAATGGCGCCACATGATAAAGCCCAGCGAACAGCAAAAGCTTCTTTCTCCCAAATGGCCCAAAGTCTCTCCGTGTCGGTTAGTTTGCGAGAGGTGTAAGTTCAGGGTTGTAATTTACCTTGGCTGTTAGCTTGAAGTAGTACAGCTCCCACTGCCACATCACTGGCGTCCGCTTGGACCACAAAAGGTGCATCCATGTCCGGGTGTTTGAGGACTGATTCCTCCGCAAAGAGGCGCTTCAACTTCTCAAAAGCTGCTTGACAGTCCATAGTCCAATCCAGCGGTTTGCTAGGTTTAGGCTTGGCTCCTCCTTTTGACTTAAGGAGGTTAGTTATGGGGAGAGCTATCTTAGCAAAGGAGGGAATAAATTGACGATAGAAATTAGCAAACCCCCAAAATTTCTGCAATTGCTTACATGTACGAGGGGCCTCCCACTCGGTGACCGCTTTGACCTTAGCGGGGTCCATTTCAATGCCCCTGTGGGAGATGCAATAGCCCAGGTAATCAACCTTCTCCTGATGGAATTCGCACTTGGACAATTTTGCGTAGAGCTCAGCCGCCCGGAGTTTTTTCAGAACTGTGCAAACAAGCCTCACGTGTTCTTCACGTGTTTCTGTGTAAATAAGGATATCGTCTAAATAGACTATTACTCCTTTGTAAAGATGGTCATGTAAAACCTCATTAATTAGCTGCATGAAAACTGCTGGCACCCCTTGGAGGCCAAATGGCATTACCTAAAACTGGAAACAACCAAGGGGGCAGTTGAAAGCAGTTTTCCATTCGTCCCCCTCTTTAATTCTGACTCTATAATACGCTTCTCTGAGGTCCAATTTAGTGAAAATATGGCTCTTCCCCAGTTGGGCCAGCATGTCTTTCATCAGTGGTAAGGGGTACAAGTTCTGAGCTGAGATGCAGTTTAAGTTTTTGAAGTTCACACATAATCTGAGGGAGCCATCTTTCTTTTCTCTGAACAATACTGGCGCTGCTACCTTGGGCCTCGCTGGCTCAATGAAACCCCTTTCCAAGTTTTTATCAATGAATGTCTTCATTTCTTCCATCTCTCTAGGGGTCATTGAATATATTTGGGGCTTTGGAAGCTTTACTCCAGGTAAAATATCGATGGAGCAATCAGTAGGTCTGTGGGGTG